ATCAGATGGAAGTGACAAACGAGTTACTAAATTAAATATCAGCAGGTTCAGACAGTTTGCATCCAAAAGTTTTAAGAGAGCTAGTCAAGAAGGGCACAGGACTGTTAACACGTATTTTCAATAAATCTTTTCAAGAACATCAGGAAATTCCAGAAGAAAGAGAAAAAGCTAATGTGCCAATATTTATAAACAGTATATTGGCTGACCCAGGAAATTATAAGACTATCAGTTTGACATGTATCCCAGACAAAATCAGAGAACACTAGAACTGAAAGAGACATCGAAAGGTCATAGAGTCCAGTCCCTGCCCTCATGGCAGGACCAGTACCATCTAGACCATCCCTGATAGACATCTATCTAATCTGCTCTTAAATATCTCCAGAGATGGAGATTCCACAACTTCCCTAGGCAACTTATTCCAGTATTTAACCACCCTGACAGTCAGGAATTTTCCTAATGTCCAACCTACACCTCCCTTGGTGCAGTTTAAGCCCATTGCTTCTTGTCCAATCCTCAGAGGCTAAGGAGAACAATGTTTCCTCTCTCCTCCTCGTGACACTCTTTTAGATACCTGGAAACTACTATCATGTGCCCTCTCAGTCTTCTCCTTTCCAAACTAAACAAGCCCAATTCAGTCTTCCTTCATAGGTCATGTTCTCTAGACCTTTCATCATTCTTGTTGCTCTTCTCTGACCCTTCTCCAATTTCTCCACATCTTTCTTGAAATTTGGTGCCCAGAACTGGACACAATACTCCAACTGAGGCCTGATCAGCGCAGAGAAGAGCAGAAGAATGACTTGTGTCTTGCTCACAATGCTCCTGTTAATGCTTCCCTGGATGTTTGCTTTTTTTGTAACAGGGTCATACCATTGACTCATATTTAGTTTGTGGTCCACTATGACCTCTAGATCCCTTTCCTAGAAAGTCACTTCCCATTTTGTATGTGTGAAACGGATTGTTTCTTCCTAAGTAGAGTACTTTGCATTTGTCCTTATTAAACTTCATCCTATTTACCTCGGACCATTTCTCCAGTTTGTCCAGATCATTTTGAATTATGACCCTATCCTGTAAAGCAGTTGTAACCCCTCCCAGCTTCGTATCTGCAAACTTAATAAGCATACTCTCTATGCCAATATCTAAATCGCTGAAGTTATTGAACAGAACCAGTCCCAAAACAGACCCCTGTGGAACCCCACTCGTTATGCCTTTCCAGCAGGATTGTGAACTGTTAATAACTACTCTCTGAGAATGGTTATCCAGCCAGTTATGCACCCACCTTATAGTAGCCCCAAATAAGTTGTATTTGCCTAGTTTACTGATAAGAATATCAAGCAAGACTATATCAAATGCTTTACTAAAGTCTAGGTATACCACATCCACCACTTCTCCCTTATCCACAAGACTCATCCTATCAGAGAAAGCTATCAGATTGGTCTGACATGATTTGTTCTGACTGTTACCTATCCCCCTATTATCTTCCCAGGTGTTTGCAGAGGATTTCCTTAATTACTTACTCCATTATCTTTCCTGGCACAGAAGTTAAACTGATTGGTCTATAGTTTCCTGGGTTGTTCTTGTTTCCCTTTTTATAGATGAGCACTATATTGGCCCTAATAATGGAGTGTATGATATTGGACTCAATTAATAAAGAATTAAAGTAATATAAATAATAATATTAATCAACGAAGATTTATAGAAACAGACCCTTTCAAACTTAACAGCCTTCTTAAATGAAAATACAAGTTTGGTTGGTAGGTACCAGGAATGATGCAATATACTTAGAATTCTGCAAAGCATTTAACTTGGTACCACCTAACATTCTGATTAAAAACTAGCTGATACATTTCAAACTGTAGTTGTAAATAAAGAATCATCATCAAGCAGATGTATTTCTAATGGGAGTCCTGCAAAGATTATTTCCTCACCCTATGCTATTTAGCATTTCTATCAAAGACATCGAACAAAATAATCAGTAAATTATGCAAAACTGGGAGAGTGTTAAATAATGGAGAGGACAGGTTACTGATTCAGAGTGATCTTTGTTGCTTAGTAAACTGGGTATAAGCAAATAACGTATGTGTGTGAAAGTAATACAGCTAAAAGTATATATTTAGGCGCAAAGAACTGCCATACTTACAAGATGGGGAAATACTGAGGGAAACAGTGACTAAGAAAAAAATCTAGGGGTTGTTTGTGTTAGATAATCAGCTGAACATGAGCTCTCAATGTGACTCTGTAGCTAAAAGGCACTACTGTAATCCTGGGATGCATAAAGAGGAATCTTGAGTAGGAGTAGAAAGGTTATTTTGCCTATGTATTTGGCCCTGGTATAACTGCTTCTGGAATATTATAATGTCCAGTTCAGGTATTCACAGTTCAAGAAGGATGCTGATAAACTGAATATGGTTCAGAAAAGAACCACAAGAATTATTAAAGGATTAGAAAACATGTCCTGTAGAGACAGACATAAGGGGTTCAATCTGTTTAGTTTAAGAAAGGACTATAATCAATTCACCCACAACCTTTAAGTACCTGTCTGGGGAACAGTTATTAAATAACATGCTCTTTGATCTAGCAGACAAAGCTATAACACAATCCAGTGGCTGGAAGTTGAAGACAGGTAAATTCAGACTGGCAATAAGGCACAAGTTTAACAGTGAGACTAACCATTGGAATACTATCAGGTTCTTGATGGATTCTCCATCACTGGCAGTTCTTAAATCAAGATTAGATGTTTCTCTAAAAAGATATGCTTCAGGAATTATTTCAGGGAAGACCTACAACCTGCGTTACATAGGAGGTCAGGCAAGATGATCACAATAGTTCTTTCTGGCATGGGAAACTGTATAAACATCTCAAGACCTCAACTCCTGGCAACTATCTTTCTGGCCAGAAAGGACTAGATAGTACTCTGAAACTTATCAACATAACTGGATCCAGGCTTGTAGCACCAGTAGCCTTTGTACTGTGGGTTGTAGCATTCGGGTTGTAGCATACAAAACTTTTGTGGTTGTAGCATATGAATCGGTATCTAACAGTAACTGGATAAAGAATAAAGCCAAGACCTTCATGAATATACAAATCCTTTAGACAACTAATTCGCATTAAAATTAATAGGTACTGAGCATCCAAATCCTCCAGGTGGCTTTAAAAATCTCAGCCCAAACTAAATCTCCCCAGGTGGCCTACAGTAGATTTTTTACCATTCATCAAAAGGGAACTACTGATGATTTAGCAAGAGGAAACAAGGATGCATAAGGTGTAGCTGAAAGAAACACACATACTACAGAGGGACAAAATTATATAGTTGCAAAAGAAAAATGCTTCACCCATCAATGCAGTAAAATCTGGTACTCACCATCTCTCTTGCTATTTCCACAGCTTCCTGCAGCCCATAAAGCCTGCCACAGACCAGGTAGATTCCATTGGCCCAGAGAATACAACCCTCGTGGACCCAAAATTCATTGCTGTCAAGAGGTAGTTCAGGAATTTGTAACTCCAGCTCAGGGCCACCTTCTGAAGTGGGCATGGGGGTTTTTAAGTCTGAGAGAGTCTTTTCATTGCCACTGCCACCCTCAGTGGTTGCTTTCTTACAAGCAGCTCCTCTTGAAAGTGACCGAGGGGCCCCCCCACAGTCCTCAGAGCGATGCCGCCTCTTAAAACGGGGGTGGGCAGCCAGGCTTCTTTGTTCTTTCTGTTGTTGCTGTTCTTCTTCCTCTTCTGTATCAGTCTTGGAGCCATTAGAAGCACTTTTGTGTCGTACCTTGACCTTGCTTTGCATTTCTGAGGCCCTCTTGGGAGGCGGGTTTTTGGGCAGTGTAGCTGCATAATCCTGGGGATAAAAAGGCCCAAAGAGGTCTCCCATGTTGCGATAACTGGCCCACTTACCACACAGGCAGCAAACCAGATGCCCCAAGACAGAAGACTCCGTTATCACAGGACCCTGCAGCATGAAAGATGAGGTGGGCAGAACTTTGCTCTCAGTGTTGCTAGGAGGGGGTGTCAGTGACCTTTGTCCCTTTCGGCCCCTCACCAACTTGTTCTGCTCTTCTTCCTCTGCATTGATGATTGTGCACACAGCACCTATCTCACACTTGTTTATCACATGAATGTATGGGAAAAAAGACTTGTTCTTGGTGTCAGTTTTATCCAGAGACTGGGTGGCATACTTCAGCTTTATCTCTGGTTCTTGAGGTTCCACAATTGGAGCAGCCCGTCTAGTTTTCCGCTTTCGTGGTTGTGCTGCAGGTTTCCTCCTCTCCCTCCTTTGTCTCTTAGGTTTTGGCTCTCCACCTCTTGTCCCTTCTGATGGCTGTGTTGGTAGTGGCACTGGTGGTGGAGGTGGCGGCTGCGGCTGCGGCTGCTGCTGCTGCTTCTTCTGCTTATTTACACTACCAATAGGCCTCCCCTTTTTCTTTCCAGAGGGGAAGTATCCCTTTGGAGGGAAGCCATCTGGCTTAGGTGAAATATTTGTCACATCTCTATCTTTTTCTTCAGACTTTAGGTTTGGTTCAGAAGTCAACACACTGGAAGGAGAAACTGTTTTTGAGTCAGGAAACATCAAAGTTCCAGTCCCAGTTAAGGATCCATCTGATCGCCCTTGACTACCAGACTTGTGTGAAGGTTGTATGGCCACATTGGCCCCAGATCCCTCTTTACTGACACTAGCAACTTCTGGTGTCTCCTTCTTGATTTTGTCATCCCCACTGCTGTGCCATTCTTCTACAGATCGTGGCAGAGATGTTTCACTAGTCAATTCCTGGCTTACTTGCCCCACTGGATCAGACACAGCCTCTCCTTTTCTTTTCTCTGTGTCTGGTCCATGACTTGCCAAACTCCCACCTTCAGGTGGTCCACATTTGAGGGACAGGATGTCATCAAGGGTGACTGCATCTGCACCAGTGTCAGCACTGTTGGAGGAAACGCTTCTCCTGATGTTGGGGGAGGTAATCTTTTGAACAATTGCTTCCAGTTTTAATCCCCGCCCCTTCCGTGGGGGCAGTATTTTGGTCTTAGCAGGGCTTGTGAGGGAAACAGCAGGACAATTCCTGTTGTCAGGACTTTGGAGATCCTTGGAGGAATCTCCCTTTGGGAGTGGCTTGCCACCATCTTGGCTTAGAGATGAGTGAGCATAGGAGTTGAATGCTTTGTCAGCTGCTTCCTTTGAGGTGGGATGTAGTCGCCCTTTATCTTCTGTGCTACTGTTCTTCATATCCTGTGACTGTCTTTTGCTGGGAATTGGAGAAATGAAAGAACGGACCCGCCTCCTCATAATTAAGGGATTTTGAGGAGACTGGTCTTCTTGGCCAGGGAGCCTCAGCATTGCATTACTAGGTTTGGGCAAATCTGTAGATTCCTCCCGCCTATGCCCATCGCTATCTTGAGAGCAAAACCTTTTCTGATTGGTTGCTCCTAGAGGGCCACTGTTCTTGGCAGGAGAGATCTGCCGGGAGAGATCCCAACCAGATTCTTGATGCTGCATCTTCTGGCCAACATGTTTTAAGTCAGTACATTTGTTTTGAGTACCATCACTCCCCATGAGGCAGCGCCCAGCATCTTGGTTTCCAGTATCATGGTAAGAGCTAGCCTGGATGTACATCATTGCTTCCTTGTCATTTTTCAAGGGACTTCTTACTCTATCAAGAAACTGCTGTTGTCTTGGACTCTTCTTTGTCCCTTCCTGCCTGTGCTGAGCTGCAGCAATCACACCCTGTGCAGAACTGCTGCACCAATCTTTGTATTCGTCTTGCTGCTGATGGTATATCTGCCTTTTGTAATGATACTGGGAATTCAAACTTTGGTTAGGGTCTCCAAAAACATGAGACCTTGTGTTGGTGTGATATGCTGAAGCCAAAGATGAGCCTTCAGAATTCTGGGGAAAGGGAGAATGCAAAGAACCCCTGCTGACTCTCTCAGACAGTGTCATATGTGGGTTCATGTGGTGAAGGTCTGTTCCTGGACCTCTGCTCCTGCCTGGTGACATCTTCAGTTTGTCAGCCAGATCCTGGTATTGAGAAGGTGATTTGCCCCTCATCCCCTCTCTGCTGCTTCCCATTCTTCCAGGTGCTCGTTTTAACTGTGTTGATCTGCTGTCTTGCTGGGAGACATAGTCTGGGGTAGAATCAGGAGCTGCAGCCCCAGGGCTGGCATTGGTTCGGAAAGATTCATGCTTCACATTGGCAGGATGACAATGGTCTCCTGATTTTTTATTGTTGAGACTGGCTGAGATCTTGGATTGTTCAAAATCTTCCTCTTTTATTTGCCCACTATGAGACTTCAGTTTTGTTTCCATGGACACCAGGCCACCAGGGAGGATGACTGATTGGCCTAAACCAGGAGTGAGACGTTCACTCCGCCCACTTCTGGCCTCAATGCTTATGTGACCCATTGGGTGAGGCCCAGGATCTCTGACAAGTTGCCTTAATGGAGATATGTCACAGATCACTGATCTTCTCTCTGAGAGTGTTCCTCCTTCGTGAGCTGAAGACTGTGATTCGATCTCAAACTTTCTAGGGATTGGATAGTCCGCCAGATTGATCTGTTTCATCTCAGGAGCTGTACCACTTGATTTTCTATCCCAGGGGCCCCAGTGAGGGCTTTCCAAGAGAGACCCTAAGCTTTTATTTAGAAGGCTCCTATTTGTTAATTCATTGGTTTGACTAATTAGAATGTTGGGCCTCATGGCTCCTTCCAGGCTTCCTGCCATGCCTGGATGTTCTTGTGCATTCCTAGCATATCTTCTGTCTGGGTGGTGGTGATAACCCTGTAAGACCTCCTGTAGAAGACTGGGAAACTTCTCATTCCTGCCTTTTCGCTCACTATGCCCCGGAAAATCCCCCTTTTCTTGACTTGATGGATACTGAGGAAAGCCACCAATATTTCTCTGTATGCCAGCCCCAAGATTGTCCTTATAGCTGTACCTCAAACTGCCAGATGATTTGGAAGATTCTGTTCTGCCAGAAAAATTTGGGCCAATGACTGTATGGCCAGGCTGGCTGTTTCCCTCTCCATTGTGGTTTGTATTGTTATCCCCACTCTTACTCCCTTTGCTTCCTGCTTGAGGCTCTGACTGTGGTAACACCTGTCCAGTTTCTTTCATTCCACTGGCACCAGGAGGTGCTTGGGTGGCTGGGGGAGCATCATCTTGTGAGGGTTTATCCTGCCCGCCTGATTTTTCTACTCTGCCTGTCATGGCCTCCCGAGAAACTATCACCCCAACTGTCTTTTCATTCACTTTTGGGGTGACCTCCACTGCTATTGAGATTTCCTTTTCAGCTGGGGAGGCCACGTCTTCCCTAACTGTAGGGCTGGTACTGAGTTTTGCTGGCTCATTCTGAGAACCTTGTGCTGGTGATGAATTGGATCGCTCCAAGTTACTCCGATTGTAGGTAGTGTCAGAGCTAGTGCTCTGGCCACTCAGCTGTCTCACCCGCTCTCCATGGTCCTCTGAACTGCTAGAGCAGCCACCATCGATGGACTCTGCCAGGGGAGACTTAAGCTGTTCTTCTGCCTGGGAGGAGCCTTCTGAGTTGGTACAACTGTCAGCTTTTTTAGACGATGATGACCTTTTGGAATTTTTTTTCTGAGGTGCCAACGCATCTGAAAGTAACATGTGCTGGACTGTGTTAGGAAGATTGGCCACTTGAGAGCTTAAAGCACTTAGGCTGCTCAGCCCTGGATCTGTAAGTCTTTTTTCCTGAAGTCCTTCCAGCCCAAATCCCTTGAATCCTCCACCATGAGCATTGGGGCTTGGCAACATGGATGGTGTTGGGCTAAGCTGAGGCATCATCTGTAAAATTCGATTTCTAGAGCCTATCGACATATTGCCTTGCCCACATTGAAGGTTTTCCCCACCTGGCATGAGGGGAGAAGGGGTAGAGCTGCAGCTTGGAGACTGGACCACCGAGGCAGCTGGAGATGGGTTGGATATAGGACTGAAGTTCTGATGAAACTGCATGGGTGATCTCACAGGGACTTCAGCTTGGCTGTACTGTCCCACTTGACTCTGAAGAGATAGCTTGGTGGTAGCATTTGAGTACTGCATTACATGCTGTGAGGGGTGCTGTTGCTGCTGCCCCTGCTGCCCACCTTGGGGCATCTTAGACTGTTCAAAACTTTTCATTGGCTGAGCTTGAAAGCTGTAATTAGATTGAGTCCCATATCCCTGTGAATTAGAACCTACAGCATGGCTTTCATACTGTGAACCAGAATTCACACTGTAACTGCCATCATAGTTCTGACCAGACTGCCCAAAACGCTGTGGAGAGGGGAAGGAGGAAGAGGAAGAAGCAGGGGGTTGATAGTGTTGGCTGAACTGACCCACTCGTAACTGGTACCCAGAAGCAGAGGAAGGCAGGGCAGATGGACGCTGCATTGGCTGCAAGTGGGAGGTGCTAGACGCAGGCTGGCTGGATGCCTGTGGTAAAGGCTGATGGGATTGATAGAGCTGCTGTCTTAGCTGCTGCACCTGCTGCTGCTGGCTGGAAGCCTGCTGCTGATACTGGGCACTCCCTGGAGAAAAAGGGCCAGTATAATCCTGCTGATAGTGAGATACACCCCCAAGGCCTGAATGCTGTGTTTGGAACTGGCTCACATGTCCCTCGCTCCCATACTGGCTCCCAAAGTTGCTTCCTTGGGGTGGCCCATAGCTTTGCACTGGTCCAGATGGCCTGCGCTGAGGTGGCTGCTGCCCACCTGCAGCCACTGTGTCCATGTTGGAGGCCATGTAGTAAAACTCTCCTCCTTCTTTTCTGAAACCTTGATAGCTCTGATGCCCAGAGCTCTCACCAGCCATTGCTGCAGATGCTCCTGTTGCTCCCCGGCGCCCGCTGCCAGCACCTCCTCCAAAACTCTGGAACATCTGGGCCTGCTGGCGGGAGCTAAATTCTTCTAGCCTGGATGCTCCGTGAACTTCCTGTGGGTAGCTCTGCTGATTTCCGTGGTAACTGCTTTGCTCCCGAAAGGACTGCATGCTGTTCAGCACCAGAGCGACCCCTCGATAGCCCTCCTAAAAAAGAGAAAAAAAGTTAGCAAATTCACATCTCCCAATCAGATCATCTGTAAAATTAAACTATAGCATCTAGCATTAATTCAAATTAAATACCTCTTCTACCACGCAGCTCTATCAATGCATAATCTCTTAACCACAACCAGTAATGGAAGAAATAGGATTCCCATTGTGCTGGGAAATCAAGTGTTTATCTCACCTTACATTTACAACAACATTCCAACATTAAGGCATTTTATAAAGGCTCCTTACAACAGTCAGCAATTAGATTGTGTGTCCCAAAACGTCTAAACCAGGAGTCTCAAACTCCCGGCCCATGGACTAGTTCTGACCAAAGCTATTGCGCATTCGTCCCAGGACTCTCAGTGGGTAAGAGAGAGAGGGGGACCTATCCATTACCGGCCTCTTAGCCCCACCCTTTCTCTCCATCCCCCCGCGTTACCACGTCCCCCGAATATGCAACTTTGGGAATCACTGGGGAGACCTGGTGCTGTCCAGCAGCAGCAGTCAGGCCCCCAGCACTGCCCTCAGTGGCAGGAGCCACAAGGAAAGAAGAATGAGTGCACACAAGGGAAGTGGAACACACTGGGTGGCACCTGCCACCACAGGGAGTGCAGGGGGCACACCAGCTGTGCAGCACAAACCTCTCCCACCCTCGGTGATACCCAAAGCCATGTGTTCGGGGATGGAGTGGGGCAATGGCATAGCCAGGGAGCCGTAACAGAGAGGTTCCACCCGGCCCACTGGGAGTCCTGGGTTGGACTGGGCAATTGCTCTGGCTGGGAATGGCCCTTGGTCTAAACATTCCAATACCATTTCACTGAACCAATTCAAGCGAGAGAATGACTGACTTCAGTAGCACTGACTCTCTCCCCTTAATTATGCTTTACAATGCCACGAGCCAGAAGAGGCTATGAGTGCAGTAAATATTTTGATTCTACTGTGGAAGTCTGAACTAATGGCATAAACTATATAAGTTATCTTGAACTATTGAGACCAGCAGTTAAAAAAAAATCCAGGAGACCCAGAATCTCCTCTCTAAAGGTCTTCCATTAGAAGACAACCCAGATGTAAATGGGACAAAATCAAAGAAGCCCCTAAAAGTTCCCTGGGAAACTGTGAAGGGACAGACAACAACTGACCAATACATAACTCTGTTCACTATAGTCAAGCACCTCTATGATGACACGGGGATGAGAAGCAGCACTCCGAGAAAGATTTCCCCATGTATGACTGTATTCCCCCACCTAGACTCCTAATCAAAGCTTGCTTGGTTCTAATAGATGGAAAGTCAAGTGCAGGTAGACTACAGCTATCCACTTCTACTTAAGCAATAGCAGATGATTTACACTGGCTTGTATAAAGTTAATTGGGACCTTTTTTTAAAAAACTGAAACCATATTTCTTAAATACCTGGTATAAACTATCACCATCCCATTAAATTACATTTCAAAGAAATTTCCCCATATATCTAATATTCCACTGATTATTCATATCTCAGATTTTAAATCTCATGACACATTCTCAAAGACTGTCTGCAGAATAAATATGGAATGCAGTCTTGTATTTCAGCAGAAGCTTGAGATTTGTTACTTGCCAGACAAGTTTGTGGGTATTATCCTTTCAGGACTTTAAAAAAATAAAAAAATAAACATGAAGTCTACATAAGGGCTTATTGCTTCTGACATCCCAGCATACTCTCCACCAATGCATAAACAGGGGAGCCAACATAGAGACAAACTTATCCAACCCATCCTCCACCTTCAGAGAAAAGCACAGACATAAAAGGAGATGAAGGGCATATTTTCACTACAAAATTTAAATGATTTAATGTGGGTCAATCTACAGGCACTGCAGTAATTAAATCAATTCTTCCTGCTCACAGTTATGCTCCTTGTGTAGATGGTGTGCATCCATAACATGAGCACCTGCACTGACTTAAGTGAAGAATTGTGAGGCTCTGACCACCAGCTCTGGCCATCAACAGCACCAACAGGTCTATATAAATGCAATGCAAGGTCTATATAAAAACTACATTGACTAACTATGCCCACCTAACTGCTATGTCTCTCACAGAGGTGAAGTTAATAGGTCAAAATAGCAGGCAAGTTAAATCAGCAGGAGGAACATTGTAGTGCAGTCACTAACACAATTAGGTTGACTGCCTTACATTTATCTAACTCAATAGTGTAGACCAGGCCTGAGAAACAGGAAAAGAAAAACACAAGTATGAAGTGGTGTCTGCAGGCTATGAACAGAAAAATGAGATACACAATCAAATACTTCCACACTTCAGTTTTTTAGTCTACCCAAATCTTCCCTTTTGCAACTACTTTTTAAAAGATAACCTCCCCTTCCTCACAAGATCAGGGTTTTTCATAGGACAGCTCATTCTAACATTTAAAATAGATTTGCCCCATACACATACACAGATGTCTCAGAAGCCTCTTCTACACTAAAGAAGTTTTGCAAAACTTCTTCAGACTTGTTCAACTCCAAAAACATTAGTAACTCCAACAGTATTAGTAATATTAGGATCTCTAGTGTAGTCATGGCATTTTAAGCCTCATTTAATGTATTCCTTCTGTTTAAAGGCTGACCTCCACACTTGGTCTACACGGAAAATTTAGATTGACCTAGCTGAGTCGTTCAGGGCTATGAAAAAATGTGCACATAATTACTACGACAACCTAAAGCCCACTTGTAGTTGCAATGCAATGAAAGCATTTTCCCATCAACCTAGCTACTGCCTCTTAAGAGGGTTGATCTACTACAGCAATAGAAAAATCCCTTCCATTGTTGTAGCAAGTAGTGATGTAATAGTATAACCGTTTAAACTACCTATTGGTTACCATTAATGGTTACATGCAAGATCCTGGCCCTGCTCCCAAGGAGCTGGACTAAGCTGGTAGGCCTTGGAGGTGGCTGCTGCCTCATGCTGTTGCCTCTGTATCAGAGGAAGCAGCATGAGACAGCAGCCAGCTCCCTGGGAGCAGGGCTGCAGGCAGGAGCTGACTGCCGCCCCACTCTGCAAACTATGCTGCACAGCCTGCAGTGCAGCTGGCTCGTCAGGAGTAGGGCAGAGCTGGCTGTGCTTCAGGCTCTGGAGTATAAAAGTTTTTACTGCAGAGTCCACAGTGTGTAACCGCTGAGATTTTCCAGCCATTACACAGTTACCTAATTAACCACTTTTCAACATCCCCACAGCAAGTATCTACATCAGGGCCACTCAACACGCAGCCCAGTTGTTTGTGCTCTGCGGTGCGGTTTGGGTTTACATGGGGCTCGGCTCAACACGCAGCCCAGGAGTAGGCGCCTTTGAACCTGGCCTCCACTGGGAACACGCTCCACAACAGCGAGGCGTCTCTCAGGCGGGGTGAGCATTGAACGATGCAAGCGAACGAGCTGGCTGGAACAGACATGTATAGGGTTATCAGCATTTCTAGCCTCCCCAAGGTGGAGATGCCAGGAGTCCCAGAGCATTGTGGGAAGCGCTTTGTATTCATGCCCATCAGTGTGAAAGAAGCTATTTGCATATATATTTGCATGTATATGCAACCACACTTAAGTTGCGACCCTTGGCATGTACTGTAAGTATCACTGTGGCCCCCGGGGCTTCCAAAGTTGAGTAGCTTTGGTCTACATCATTGCAGGTAGGCCTCGCCAGCGCTGTGCCATAGCAATGCCACTGCAGCATCTGTAGTGTACACATACCCTTAGTGTTCCAAGATCCAGTACTCACAGGAGTGCAGATTAGGGCTAGTGATCCAACTTTGGGGCATTTAAGTAAGGGATCCCTTGATAATCAATTTACCTCCTAGGGTGTAAAAAATTAACCTTTTAACTGGTTACCCAGTAAGCATTAGGCTTACTAGAATGATTACCAGGTGACTGATTTCACAGGTCCTGGCTGAGTCCAGGCTGCTATGGAGGGGCAGCAAGCAGGACTGCACTGCATCATCAGGCAGTATCCTGCCTCCATGGGGGATGGCCCACTGTGCAGGGTAGGCAGGTAGGTCTTCAGCCCTGGCTGGCCCCACCCCTGCCAGTCTGATTCTGCCATGGCAGGCCCCACTCCTCCCTCCAGCAGTGTCAGAGTAGCACAGGCTAGGCAGGTGGTTAACTGATTAAAGGTTAAATTGCAGTTGTTTAATCTGTAATTATTTAAATTCTTTTGCACATCCCTACTCCCCACCATCAAGAAAAAAAATCCCAAGGTCTCTTAAGATTAACTGATTCTATCAACATTTTTGCACAAACCTACCGATAAAATCACAGCTCTTTATCATGACCAAATGCTCACCACCCCCCAATTTGTGCACGATACCCACTAATACTTGGAAGGGTCAAAATTGAAAACTGTATTCAAAATATAGTTTCACTCTCTAAACAGGCCCATGCTTAGTACTCATGAGCCAATCATATTACATTGCATGCATGCAACTACCCAGATATGACTCAGAAATTGTGCAGCTCAAGGGCCACTGAACTGAGCAAAAAGGCAGACATGTAGTTTAGAACCCAAGCCTCATCATAAAGCTGAAAAATCAAACAAGTATATTGCTACAATCTGTCTCTGTCAAAGAGGTTTTTATTTTGGGGAAATAGAACCTAGAAAAATATCAGAAAAATCAGAAAGTGCTCAAATAATTGACAAAAGGGACATAAATTATACACATGAATGCTTTGTGAGCAGCAAGGGGGGAAATCAAGGAGCATAGTAGTGCGGGGGAGGGGAAGGATAATTAGAGCATTTAAGCGAGGAGAGGTAATACTCAGCTCAGGGGACAGCTGTCAGTCCCATATTCTCTCCTCTTGTATTTGCACTAGGATCCATGAAAGCCCTTCTTTTGGGATGATATATTAGCCCCCTCCTTGGTGGGATGGTAAGCTGGGATCTGGGAACCAGGAACTGACTGCAGAAAACCAAACACCCTTGTCCTGCTCCTTTCACTCACTCTTCCCCACCCTCACTCACTTTCACCAAGCTCCAGAGGATT